AAACTCACTCACAAATCGATATGGTTACTTATTTTCAATTTTTTTTTTGCTAAAACTATTTGATTACATAGAAATAATAAATATAGAAAGGTCGGAAGTGTTTCTTTCCTAGGGATGACAAAAATACTTGTATTTGTGAGTATCCATAGATAAAATCTTCAATGGATAATAAATGGGTAACCTAAATGAATACCATGAATAACAGATATAAGTATTTTTTTACTCGTTTATAAACGGGACAGGGGCGTGTATAGTAGTATCCATACCCATGGGTATACACTAAATCACACTACTTAAATATTTATATTTTTATCTTATACTTTATATTATTTTTAATATTTTAAAAATTATCATTAATTATAAATTCAAAAATTAATATCAATATTTTATCTTTAATATTTCAATATACTTAATATCAAATATAAGTTTAAAGTTATTTATAATACTTTTTTTTTTAATTTTAAAAATAATTCACAAATATCCATGGATATCCTTGGGTATTTATAAAATTTGTAAATATCTGCTAATTAACGGATACCTATGTAGGTATGAGACATGTACATGGCGAATTTTTATCTGACAAGACAAGAATGAGTATTGTACCTGTCTGAAGGGCACACTAGTAATCTTCTCATACTCTGAGGGCCGAACGAGAGCTCCGATCGAATATTTCGGTGAGGGGGAGGGCACCTGCAAAAGGCACTCCGACGCTCAAGTCAAGACAAGCACAAATATCGATAGTAATTAATGAACAGTGACGTTACCTCGTGACATGAGCTATTTATACTAACATTTATGGGCCCTGACTGCCCTGGGCCCTGTGACAGGATTACCATATTAGGTAATACGCCTCTAATCGGCTTATTGGTGTGATTAACTCTTAACTCTTGATTAGGGGTAATCCTTAACTCTTGATTAATGATCTTAGTCTTCAGTGGCCGATCAGCCGTCGGCTACCTAGTTCGGTCATTCAGGTGCCGATTCGGTATCGGCCACCTGGTTTGACCTTTTGGGTGCCGATTGGGCCTTGGCCACCTGGTGGCCGAATGGCCTTACTAGTACACTTGCCCCCTAGCCTTGGAGAAGGGAAAGCTTCTTCGAGGGTAAAGAAATGAGGTTAAGTCTTGCGGGAAGTCGAAGAGGTTTGTTCAATCTCAGCCCTTGGATCTTGAAGATCAGGCGGTTATTTGTTTCACATTTTTTGAATTTTCCCGCCTTTTTATTTGGCTATATATAGAAGTGAGTGGTAGGCCCTCCCACGCGTATCGCTCTCGACCGAAGTGCATTGTCCTAGCAAGTTTAGATTTCCATCTTAACGTGCCGAGTGACGTTTTAGATTCTCATTCTTGGTAAGTTGTCTTATGGCGAATTCTTCCGAAAGCTCTTCGGCTAGTGGGGATCGGCCTTTGTCATCCGAGGGGTCTTCGTCCAAGGGTTAGGGTCATGCAGAAGTGGTCTCGCCAAATGAAAGCGACCGTCTTACCGATAGTGGTAATTCTTCCGAAGAGACGTCTACAAGTGGGAGTTCCGAAGTGCCGACTAGAACTAGACGCGTGTCCACTCGGCAGTGGTCCGAAGTGCCTGAGTACGAGTGGGTAAATGGGGAGGTGACCTCGTACTACTCCCGCTAACGAGATACCACAATGATAAGGAACTTGTTGGAATACACCAAGTGTTTGAATTTTGATGCTAGAGAGGAGCCGTATCCGATCGGGGTTCGGGCATGCCGAAACAATGCCTTTGCAAACCCCAACATGGTTTGCTTAGACAAAAGTGGCGAGAAAATGGAGTCCTTTTATATGTATGACTGTCTTTTACGGGATTTGAAGGTCAAATTGTCATTTGATGAATTCACAATGGGGGTGCTAAGGGTTTTGAACGTGGCGCCGACCCAACTTCATCCAAATAGTTGGGCTCAACTGTAGGGCTTCAAACACCTGTGCTGATGCCTAAGTATTAGGCCCTCCCCTTTGTTGTTTCTTTATTTTTACTCGTCTCGGCCATCGGACTTGGCGAAGTGGGTATCGCTTAACCGAGTAGGGAGTCGACAACTTCTGGACAGCTTCACTTCGTCCTACAAGAATTTCAAGGCCGGGTTCTTTCGAGTAACCATTCGTCCGAACGGGCGTCGTTTCTTCTTCGGAGTCGACGACAAAAGTTTTTTTCCATTGTACTGGACACGTGCCCCTCGACCATATGATGATGTGCCGGAAGAGCTTCTCACAGCCGAAGAGCAACGAAACTTGCATTTTTTGCTTCGGCTTCCACGGTGCTTGCCGACGAGGTCATTAATAAATGTGGTAGAATCTTCCCAATGGGAGAATGACCTAATAGGTACGTGATTTTTCCTGGTTCGGCCATAAGCTAAATGCATATTGATGTTCACCTTATTGTTTTTTACAAGAATCATGGTGTCGAGTGGAGCGGATGAGTTCAACATTCGCAACTTGTTGGCCAGCCGAGTGCAACAGGCTAAGGCCTCCGGTATCGTGGGCAGTTCGGCCCTTGCCCAAACTCCTCGCCCCGAGTAGGACAACTGAAACCCTCCATCCCCACACTGCAAACACCAAAAGGGAAGAAGGGGAAGGAAGCCGCTCATGACGGGTCAAAAAGAAAAAATAATGAAGAGAGGTCGGAGAAGGCGAAGAAGTAGAAAAACATCGAGTCTTCGCCGAGTGGGACAGTGATTTGTGTGCCCCCATTGCTGATGTCGCGTGCCTTCCTAAACGAGGAAGTGTCTGTCGAGTTGATGGTTCGGTCAGATGCCATATCGGAGCATGGGCGCGAGTTCTTGGACCGGTTAGACACCATGTCTAAATGGAAATACTACTACGAAGTCCAATCGCATTCTCTGGCCCTAGCTCATCATCTCGTGATGGAACCAATCGGCGAGTTGGTGAATTTGAGACAAAGAGTTGAAGAACCCGATAAGGCGACAACCGAGGCTATGGCGACGGCAGAGGAGGCTCTAGCTAAGAATCGATAACTCGCGGCTGAACTAGATGTGCAGAGGCGCAATAATGACACCCTTTGGCTGGACCTTCAAAAGGTGTCGAATGAAGAACAGTGCCAAGTTGAAGAAGCAAAGGCTGAGCTGGAGCGGCTTAAAGAACAAGCTAAGGATCGCATTGTCGCTCAGCATGAAGCCGGGTTTCGCCATTCTCTTCAGCAAGCGAGGTATTTCGGCCATTTAAGAGAAGACTTTGAGTTTGACATGACCAAAGACTTCTATCAGGGGTCTTTCATGTCATTCGGGGATATGCCCGAGGGGGCTGTCCCTGATAGTGATGAGCCGAATGATGCCCCCGAAGAGGAGGATATTCAGGGTGCTTCGGATGGCGAGGCTGGAAATAAGCAGGAAGGATCAAACGATGATCAAGAGATCGAGCCTGAGACGCAAAATGACGCCGCCGACAACCTCATAGAATAATTGTGCTTGAATCATTTTTTTTTGTATTCAAGGCCGATAGAGCCATCTCTTTTGTATTAAAGGCCGATAAAGCCTTCTCTTTTATCAATGAAAAGTAACTTTTGCCAATTATATAATGCTTGTATGCCGAAATAATCTTGTCTATCTGAATTGTATAATGTGGTAAGTGGAGAGTTTGCATAAACCATCGGTTGAATTGGGTTGTTCAACAATGCATATTGATTAAGTTAATAATCAAATGGAGACGTTTCGGTAAGAGCCGATTGGGGTCGTTTCGGGATCGACATTTTCACCGAGCAAAATCGAGTGGGGTCACTTGGAAGTGCTTGCTTTTTTGGGCAAAGCCGAGTGGATTTACTCGGAAACGCGTGTCTTTTTGAGCAAGGCCGAGTGAGTTTACTCGGAAATGTCTGCTTTATTGAGCAAAGCTGAGTGGATTCATTCGGAAATGCTTGCTTTTTGAGCAAAGCCGAGTGGATTCACTCAGAAATGCTTGCTTTTTGAGCAAAGCCGAGTGGATTCACTCGGAAAAGCGTGTCCTTTTGAGCGAGGCCGAGTGAGTTTACTCGAAAACGCATGTCTTTGAGCAAGGCCGAGTGAGTTTACTCGGAAATGCTCGCTTTTTGAGCAAAGCCGAGTGGATTCACTCGGAAACGCGTGTCTTGTTTTAGCAAGGCCGAGTGAGTTTACTCGGAAACGCGTGTCTTTTTTAGCAAGGCCGAGTGAGTTTACACGGAAATGCTTGCTTTTTGAGCAAGGCCGAGTTGATTCACTCGAAAACGCGTGTCCTTTTGAGCAAGGCCAAGTGAGTTTACTCGGAAACGCGTGTCTTTTTGGGCAAAGCCAAGTGAGTTTACTCGGAAATGCTTGCTTTTCGAGCAAAGCCGAGTGGATTCACTCAGAAACACGTGTCTTTTTGAGCAAGGCCGAGTGAGTTTACTCGGAAACGCGTGTCTTTTTGGGCAAGGCCGAGTGGATTTACTCGAAAACGCGTGTCTTTTTGGGCAAAGCCGAGTGGATTTACTCAGAAATGCTTGCTTTTGCACGATTCCTTGGCCAAACGGGGTCACTCGGGAGTGAAGCCTCTGATGAATTATGAAGGGCACATCCTTGGCCGAGTGGGGTCACTCGAGAGGGAAGCCTCTGACGAATTCCGAAGGCACATCCTTGGCCGAGTGGGGTCACTCGGGAGGGAAGCCTCTTTGTACAAATTTCAAATGCACATCCTTGGCCGAGTGGGGTCACTCGGGAGGTAAGCCTCTTTGTACGAACTCTGAAGGCACATCCTTGGCCGAGTGGGGTCAATCGGGAAGGAAGCCTGTTTGTACGAATTCCGAAGGCATGTCCTTGGCCGAGTGGGGTCACTCGGGAGGAAAGCCTCTAAAATAAACAGTTCAAGTAAAAATGAGCAGAATGAGTTGAATTGCATTTCTTTAATTGGTGCCTCGTTAAAAACCTTATCAGCCAAAACCCTTTTTCACTTTTTTATAAGGGGAAAAAAAACCGATCAAGGAAAAGAGTGCACCATGCATGTACATTGATGATGATTTCTTTGTATTTACAAACATCTCTAGCTAAAGTACATCTTCAAATGAGTCGAGTTCCAAGTCCGAGGAATGATTTTTCCCGACAGCTCTTCCAATTTATACGCTCCATTTTGTAGGTTGTGTCGAATCCGAAACGGGCCATCCCAGTTAGCCGCTAGCTTGCCTTCGTGGGGGTTGCATCTTGCTGATCCTTGCGCTCTCCATACCAAGTCTCCTTCCTTGAATTCTCGCCTCATGAGGTTGGAATTATGTCTCCAACTCATTCTTTGTTTGCACGCCTCGGCGACAAGTTGAGCCCGATCGCGCGCCTCATCGATCATATCAACTTCAGCCCGAAGTGACATGTCATTGGAGGCTTCATCAAAATGCGCACGGTGAAATGACGGCTCACCAACTTCAACCAGAATCATCGCGTCCGAACCACACGTCAATCGGAATGGTGTTTCTTGTGTTATGGATTGGGGGGTGCAACGATAAGCCCATAGGACTTCCAAAAGCTCTTCTGCCCAGACCCCTTTGGCATCTCCTAAACGTTTCTTTAATTCTGAGAGAATCACTTTGTTGGCAACTTCGGCCTGACCATTTTCTTGCGGATGTTCGACCGATGTAAATCGGTACTTAATTCCCAAATCTTGGAGAAATTTGTTAAGTTTCTGGTCTGTAAATTGAAGGCCGTTGTCAGTTATAATGGCATGGGGGATGCCGAAGCGTGTGATGATATTTTTCCAAAGGAATTTTTGAACGTTGTTTTCCGTGATGGTGGCTAATGGTTCGGCCTCAATCCATTTGGTAAAATAATCAATCGCTACCAGCAAGAACCTTCACTGCTCTTTGGCAATAGGAAAAGGACCTAGTATATCCATTCCCCATAGGGCAAACGACCAAGGCGAACTGATGCTGTGCAACTGCTCGGTTGACGCATATATTAAGTTGCCATGTCTTTGGCATTGAATGCACTTTTTGACAAACCCCATGCAATCAGTTTTGAGAGTCGGCCAGCAATAGCCGGCTCGAAGTACCTTTTCTGCTAACGTTCTGCCTCCCGAGTGAGAACCACAGATCCCTTCATGAACTTCCCTCAACACATGATTGGCTTGTTCGGAGTCGAGACATTTGAGTAGTGGAGATGAAAAACCTCTTCGATAGAGTTCTCCTCCCACCACTGAATATCTCGCAGCTTGAGTTCTAAGCTTTTTGGCTGCCGAGGGGCATGTTGGTTTAGTGCCTTCAGTGATAAAGCGTATGATGTCAGTCATCCATGTTGCTGGTTGTTCGAAAATTGCTAAACAATCAGTGGTGTCGACACTTGGTGTGGAGAGCTCAAGATGAAGGGTGGTTCGGAGTTGTCCAGGTTTGCAACTGCTAGTTGCCAATCGGGCTAACTGATCGGCTCTTTCATTATTTTCACGGGGGGTGTGCTTCACGACTACTTCATCGAAATACCGGCACATATTTCGGAAAGTATGATAATATTTCAAAAAGTGGGCGTCTTTAACCTGAAAGTTCTCATTTACTTGTTCCGAGACGACTTTCGAATCGGTCCAACAGATAAGCTTCTGAACGCTGACTTCTCGGGCCAGCCTTAACCCCACCAACAATGCTTCGTACTCGGCCTGGTTATTGTAGGCTTTGAATGCAAAATGGAGTGATTGCTCAAGCGCCAAGCCTGTCGGCCCTTCGAGAATTATTCCAGCCCCACTGCCTTGATTGTTAGACGAACCATCAACACGGATCGTCCATTGATTACTCTCAAAGTGGCTGACTGGCTGTAATTCATTGATGAAATCGACCAAACATTGTGACTTGATCGGGCCTCTTGGTTCGAATGATATATCAAACTCAGATAATTTGATTGACCAAGCCATCATGCATCCTGCCAACTCGGGTTTCCGCAAAACCTTGGCGATTGGACAATCAGTGCGCACAATAATCTTATGGCTATGAAAGTATTGTTGGAGACGTCGTGCTGTGTGGACCAAACTGAGTGCTACCTTTTCTAAGAGTTGATATCTCCCTTCGGAGTCTTGAAGCATTCGGCTGACGAAATAGATCGGCCTTTGTGAATCTTTCGCTTGTATCAAAACGGCGTTGACTGCTTCGTTGGAGATACACAAGTATACCACCAGGTCTAGACTTGGATCGGGTTTCGAAAGAATCAGGGTCGAGCTGATTTGCTACTTAAGGGTTTTGAAAGCCTCCTCGCACTCTGTCATCCAGTTGAACTTGCTAACCTTCTTCAAGAGTCTGATGATGGGCTTTGCGGTTTCAGCTAGACAGGGGAGGAACCGAGAGAGTGACGTTTGCCGACCGGATAACTGCTGAACTTCTTTGATGTTACGCAGACTTCTCATTCTGACTACCGCCTGACATTTATCTGGATTTGCTTCAATGCCTTTGGTCGACAACATGAAGCCGAGGAATTTACCCCTGGCGATGCCGAAAATGCACTTCTCAGGATTTAACCTCATGTCATGTTTCCAAAGTTGTTGAAAAACTTCTATAAGGTCGTCTTTATGAGTGCCAAGATCATTTGACTTAACCACCATGTCATCAACATAGACCTCAAGATTTTTGCCGATATGATATTTGAACACCTTGTCCATTAACCTCTGATAGGTTGTCCCTACATTTTTTAAACCAAACGACATCACCCGATAACAGTAGTTGGCCGATTCAGTGATGAAAGTCATTTTCACCTCGTCTTGTGGGTGCATCCGGATTTGATTGTATCCCGAATAAGCATCCAGGAAAGTCAATAGCTTATGTCCTGATGCCCCATCGACCAGCCGGTCGATATTGGGCAATGGGTAGGCATCTTTGGGGCAGGCCTTATTAAGGTTGGTGTAATCCGTGCACATGCGCCATTTTCCATTAGGTTTCTTGACCATCACTACGTTTGCTAACCAAGTAGTATACTGCACTTCCCAAATGAATCGAGCTTGCAATAACTTAGCGACTTCCGATTCAACAGCAATTTTTCTTTTTGTTCCCATCTTCCTTTTTCATTGAGCAACCGGTTTGGCTGCTGGGCAGATCGACAATCTATGACACATGAATTCTGGGTCTATGCCTGGCATATGGCGTCCAGGCGAACAAGTCTTTGTTTGAGACAATTACCTTGCTCAATGCGAGTCTCTCGGTTTTCGACAAGCCAATCCTGATGTAAGTGACCTGGGATGGTTGTGAACCGATCTGTAGGGGAAATTTTTCTTCTATCGGTTCTGCTCGTTTGTCATTTAATCTTGAGTCAAGATCCCATGCTGGAGTAGATTTCGAGGACTGAGGGGTTATTCCATGCACACGTCTTGACTTTACTTGCTTCTCTCCCACTAGGGGCAGCCGCAGACTGGCAAAGTAACACTCCCGAGCTGCCTTTTGATCGACATGTATGGTGAGGATGTTCCCTCTGTCCGAGGGGAATTTCATGGCAAGATGAGGTGTTGAGACAATAGCCCCCAAGACATTCCATGAAGGCCGACCGAGTAGGATGTTATACGACGTGTTGGCTTGAACAACAATGTATTTCACCTGGATGTCTCGATGCTCCTTATCAAAGCAAAACCGAGTGGAAAGTTTGATGGATCCTCTAGTGTTGACCCTCTCACCTGCAAAACCTACAAGTGGCTCGTTATAGGGAGTCAGCTCTTCCTCGGGGATGCCGAGCTGTTTGAAGGTATTCCAATATAGAATATCGGCCGAACTGCCTTGATCTATCAGTGTTTTCTTCACAATCTAATTATGTATCTCCACACTGATGACCATAGGGTCATCTTGGACCGGGTCAATGCCTTGAAAGTACTTATCAGTAAATGTGATGGTGGGCATCCACCGACTTAGACGTTGTTCGACAGTATTGACCGATCTAACTACTCGTAGGTGTCTCTTTTGAGCTGACAAAGTCGACCCTCCCCTGGCAAAGCCTCCGGCAATGGTATTGATAACACGCCTATGCGACATTTGAGGCTCATCTTTCTGATGTCTCGATCTGCTGCGCTTGCGCCGATGTCTGTCTGAGCGCTCATGTCGGTCTCGCTATTGAGACTGGTACGAGGGGCGACGCCGAGATGTATTTGGCCGATCAATGAAATTTTGGAGTTGTCCTTGTTTGATTAGGTCTTCAATCCGATCTTTCAAGGCGGCACATTCTTTAGTGGAATGTCTGCGATTTCGATGATACCTACAAGATTTGTTGGTATCAGCTCAAGGGAGAGTTGATGCTCTCTTTGGAACTGCTAACACTTTCGATGCTAGAGCTTGTTCGAGTACTGCGGCTCGACTTGCATTGAGGGGAGTATAATGAGAGTATTTTGGACCCCGTGTGGGTCGGTCCCGAAGAGTTAACTCCTTGCCTCGCCCCCTGTATGGTTGTTCTGTTTGCTTTTCGGGTTTGCCCACTAGTTCGTCTCGAGCTTGATTGCGGTATTCAGCTAGCTCTTCCATTTGCATATATTTATCAGCTCTCCTCCGTAGGTCGTTCATGTCTGAAGGCAGTTTCTTGCAAATGATATTAACAAACGGTCCAGGCTTTAAGGCCGTTGTGAGGTGATGGAGTGCTACGACTGGATTGAGGTCTCGGATCTCCAAGGCTGGCTTGTTGAACCGATCCATGAAATCCCGAAGTGTCTCTTTCTTGTCTTGCCGAAGGCTGACCAGCGATAGAGATGTCAAGCTGTGTGGACGACTCGTTGCGAATTGGACGGTGAATTGAGACGATAAAGTGTTGAACGAGTCGATAGAGTTTGGGAGGGAGCCGAGTGAACCAACTCAAGGCCCTGCCTTTCAGAGATGTTGGAAAAATCCGGCACAAAGTAGCATCGTCTATGGTGTTCATTGTTACCTGCGTAAGAAAAATGTCAAGATGCTCGTCAGGATCCGATGTGCCATCATATTTATCAATTGGCAGGGACTTCCAGTTATCCATCAAAGGTAACTGCATAATGGAGGGTGTGAAAGGGTGTCGGTGCGATCCAACTGTTGCCAAGTCAGTGGGAAGTCCGACTGTAGGCAGGGCCGAATGAAACTTTTCAGGTGCAGAAGCCGAGGCATGCGGAGCTAAAGTATGGATGTCATGGGACTGGTAAGACCCTTGGGTTTGAGTGTTGGTGGGTTGGGTAGGTTTCCATGAGGGATCTTGATTTTTCAATGCCTCGTTTTCGGCTCTCAAGGCTGAAAGTTCCTTTGCATCCTTCTCCCGTTGTTGTTTCATTGCGGCCATCTCTTGCTTGAGTAGACGAACAGTCTTAGAGAGATCGGTTTCATCTACAACTTCAACATGTTCTTCCTCTTCGGTCTGGTGATCTTCCATGTTCGTTCTCCTTGTCTTCGCCATTGCTTTGCTTTGTTAACCTTCACAACTGTCTCGGTTCGGCCCCACGGTGGGCGCCAAAATGTACCTGTCTAAAGGGCACACTAGTAATCTTCTCGTACTTTGAGGGCCGAACGAGAGCTCCGACCGAATATTCCGGTGAGGGGGAGGGCACCTGCAAAAGTCACTCCGACGCTCAAGTCAGGACAAGCACAGATATCGATAGTAATTAATGAACAGTGACGTTACCTCATGACATGAGCTATTTATACTGACATTTATGGGCCTTGACTGCCCTGGGCCCTGTGACAGGATTACCATATTAGGTAATACGCCTCTAATCGGCTTATTGGTGTGATTAACTCTTAACTCTTGATTAGGGGTAATCCTTATCTCTTGATTAATGATCTTAGTCTTCAGTGGCCGATCAGCCGTCGGCTACCTAGTTCGGCCATTCAGGTGCCGATTGGGTATCAGCCACCTGGTTCGACCGTTCAGGTGCCGATTGGGCCTCGACCACCTGGGCGCCAAAATGTACCTGTCTGAAGGGCACACTAGTAATCTTCTCGTACTCTGAGGGCCGAACGAGAGCTCAGATCGAATATTCCGGTGAGGGGGAGGGCACCTGCAAAAGGCACCCCGACGCTCAAGTCAGGACAAGCACAGATATCGATAGTAATTAATGAATAGTGACGTTACCTCGTGACATGAGCTATTTATACTGACATTTATGGGCC